TTTTACAATTGTTACCCTGCACTGTACCTATAGACGCAGCTTGGGTGCAAGAAATGCTACTACCCAAGAAAAAGAGAAATGGAAAAAGAACTAAGCAGTAAAAGATGAAGAAGGAATCTGGTAATTGAAAGGGAAAGTCATCGTTCCCAGGATGGCAATCAGCCACGTTTTAAAGTCGCTACATGATCAAGGTCATGAAGGAGCAGAAGCATTAGCTCAGAGGTTTAAGCAACATTGGGCAGGTGAAGGGATTCATGTAGAAGCAGAGAAGATAGTTGGCAACTATGCAGATTGTCTGGCCCATTCTAAGGGGAGAGGACTGAGGCCAAGTCCTTCCCAACTGCCGAGGGGGCAGTACCCTTTCCAGATGATACAAATTGACTTTGCTGACATGCCTCCATGTAAGCAGAAGCATCTATCGATTGTAATATGCGCCTTCAGTAATTACGTGGAAGCATTTGCTACCAGAAAAGCAGATGCCAGTGCAGTGGCCAAATGTTTATTAACTGAACTGGTGTCAAAATGGGGTGTATCAAGAGTCATCCACTCAGATCGAGGGAAACATTTTGTGAATCGAGTCATCCAGCTGATGGGTACAGCCCTGGGAATAGAGCTTAAATATCATTGTGCCTATAGGCCACAGGCATCCTTGCTGGTGGAGAGGATGGTGGGAACATTGAAAAATCATTTGGCCAAACTAGTAGAAGCAATTGGTTGGGGATGGGTAGATGTACTCCCCATGGCACTTTTGGCCATCAGAAGTTCACCTTTGAAGGAATTAAAACTGTCTCCCTATGAAATTCTATATGGGCGACCAATGCCCCTGGGCCTTGGCTCAATCCCCATTCCAGAAGGTGTTCACCCCAACCCATGGACAAGTTACTTACATGCCATATAATCTTTTCAACAGGAGCAGCGCCGAACCCAGGAGCGAGTCAGACAACATCGTAATCAGAGTGGGCTACCTGAAACTGAACCATTTGACCAGTTGCAAGCAGGAGACTGGGTGTATCGAAAAGTGCATCAGAAGAAAAACTGTCTCTCCCCAAGGTGGAAAGGCCCATACCAAGTGCTGTTAGTAGCTCACAGCAGTGCAAAGCTTGAAGGTCTGACCTCGTGGGTTCACCTAAGTCATCTCAGGTGTGCTCCAGCTCCAGCCCCAGAAGCAAGCACTACCAAGGACTGTGTTCAAGGCTCCCGGAAAACAAACAGATGAAAAAAGAAAGAAGGGTGAAGTTTTGACTACAAAACCCCGAAGAGCTCTGAAGATAAGGTTTAAATGGACTCTTGTTGTTAGTTTAACATTAACACTTAGGCTCCTGCAGTTATTCAGATTGCTCACTATTTTACTGTTTCTTTTTCTTTACTGTCTGCCTCACATGGCTCTATTTGCTTTTGTAGTTGCAATGGTCAGTGTGCTTTATCTACAATTGCCAGGATATAAGATGCAATACCCACTAGATTGGTTGCCTACAAACAATTCCTACTTGACTTTAATGCATTAGTGCAATCCCCCTGGGTGAACCTTTTTGTGCTCTCGAGGGAACAAATTGGGATTCTGTGCTTAAAACACATTTTGTAGGAGTACCTGAACTGTTTTTTAACGTGCTCCGTACCATTACTGCACCACTCCCTACACGTGACCCACGTACCCTTGATTCCCTAGGGACAACTCTCCTGTACTATTATTCCAAACCCACCAAACACCAGTGGACCAATCAAGCATTATACAGGGTAGAAACCAAGGGCAATTTGCCAGGGACCAACTGTGTGCGAGTGGTTGGCTGCGAAGACAAAAAGACATGCTTTCCCCTACCAGCTCTTGAAAAATGCGCAGAGGCAATGCAGCTTAACTTTATAAAAGTCCCCTGCTACTTACCTAAGGGCTGGTATCTACTGTGTGGAAACCATGCCTTTTCATATTTCCCAGCAAATTCCTCGGGAGGTCCCTGTGCAGTTGGGCGTTTAACTTCATTTCATGCAGTACCCTTGTTCAAAATTACACTCATCACAAACCCAGGCGAGTGCAAAGATACTGTATAGAGGGCCCCCCACTTGACAGCACCTGTGATGACCACATAGGGCTGGTGAACACCAAGGAAGTTTATGGGCTTGCTGTATCCATAATTGGAACACCAAGTCTAGCAACCCGTGCTTACCTGGATCTCAGAAAATTGGCCTGTTTAGTTATAAAAAACACCAACAAATCTTCAAATGCGCTCTCCTAAATGAAGAATTCAAAATGGCCCATGGGTGCGAGGAATTTCCAGGTATGTGTTGCTTTAACCTGACATTCTATTATTCTATTAAAGCAAAACAGTATGTGTTGCTTTAACCTGACATTCTTTGATGTTGCTTTAACCTTTCATAAAGACATTCAAACTGGCTAAAGGTAAAGTCTCCTTTGAGTCAAACTTTACCCTTGGAGACTTCATTGAGACAGCCATGTCATTTTCTTGGCAATGATACAGGCTTGCCATGTTCAATGTAAAATCATGTTCATAGAATAATGCCTCTTTGTTGTTTCCAAATCCCATTGTCTTTGTAGTTCTGCCCCATTATCTTTTAGTTACATCCTGTTTCACTGACCTCACTAGGTACATGACATGTTATACCAAATCAAATACCTTGCTGCTGTATGCAATCACATATAAAATTTGCATACGTCTATAAAAATGGAATGTAACCCCGCCTTTCCTTAGGCCTGTCTTTGACTCCAGCACTGTCAATAAAGCAATTTGTGCATCAGTGTAATGTGTTCTAGCCTCCGATTCAAACTTTACCCTTGGTGACTTCATTGAGACATCCATATAGTTTTCTTGGCAATGATACAGGCTTGCCATGTTCAATGTGAAAAAACTTGTAGAAGCAAACTAATACTAATTAATTTACATAAAACATAAAACAGAAACAGGCTCCCCAATACTCAACCTGTAGGTGGTTCAGAATATCATGGTTAATGGTATCAAAGACTGCTGAGAGGTTTAATAGGACAGAAAGGGCTCACTTCCTCTGCCTAGGTCCTGACAATGATAGTTAATCAGCAAAAGCAATACAGTTTCCATCCATGCCTGGGCCTGACCTCTGACTATAAAGAGTCTACTTATACCTATTAAATATGTATCCATTTATTTAAAATATTTTTATCCCAGTTTGCTGCACTAAAGACATTCAGATTGGCTAAAGGTAAAGTCTCCTTTGAGTCAAACTTTACCCTTGGTGACTTCACTGAGACATCCATGTAGTTTTCTTGGCAATGATACAGGCTTGCCATGTTCAATGTAAAAAAACTTCTAGAAGCAAACTAATACTAATTCATTTACAGAAAACAGAAAACAATGAATAAAATAAACAGGGTGTTGTTTATTAAAACATTCTTGAACAATATAAAAAGAAAATATGTACTATTGCTGTACATTACTATTGTAACTGCATGTACAATGAGTATCCAAAAGATGAGTTTTAACTGTATTATGAATTATATTACAGATTAAGAGAACCACTCATGCTAATATATATTTCAAGGTTGAAGAATTTCTACCATAAACAATGAAGAGTCACCCTGAATCCAATTATTTCTTGTAACAGTTTTTAAACTATAATGATAATCTCATAAATCCATGGTAACAGAATGAGAAAATAATAATCAGAATTATGCATTTTACAGGCTGAGCATTAAAAATTATATAAACATTTTTGAATGCTTGAGAGCTATTAAATTAGTTTAACTGAACAATTTTCTTTGCCAACTTATAGAACAGAATTCATATTGCAATACATTGCCAATTGACTAAATGCTACCAGGTTATACAACTTGTTAAACTTGTCCTCCTTTTGAGGTGTAATTTTCTGTTATAGATAGAATCAAATTAAATTACATAGGACTGCTACAGTTTCCTCCAGGAAGCAAGACTGTAAGAAGATATACATTGTGAGTATTGTATTATAAAATACATTAAGTCACTAAATCAGTGCTTCCCAACTTTTTCTTTCATTACCCAAATCTCAGAGGGGAAGGAGGGTGCGATGCACGTGGGTAAGCAAAGAAAGGTTGGGGTGGGTGGGGGAGACTTACCCAAATGACTTGTGACCTCCCTGCTGGCTTCCCCATTGACATTGATTGTGGGAAGCGGGCAGGGAAGGTTTCAAATGGTGATCATATGACCATGGGATGCTGCAACTGGTCGTAAGTGCAAGCTGGTTGCCAAGCGCCTGCATTTTGTCCTGCACAGGTGCTGCAATGGCCAGAACTTTGAGGACCGGTCGTAAGTCCCTTCCTTCAGCACCGTCATAACTTTGAACGGTCGCTGAATGAATGGTTGTAACTTGAGGACTATATTATAAAAACAATATTATTGAATGATCTTTATGTCATTTCAACAAATTACCATTGGTAATTTCATTGATTTTCATCTTAATAGGAATACTTTGGGAGATTTTCAAATATATTTTAGTACATGTGGCATTCTCTAAGTCAATTTAAATGTCCCTGTTTTGAATGGGTTCAAATGTCGTTACCCAAAGAAAAAACACTTTTACCCAATTTTGGGTAATTTATCCAGGTTTGGGAAGCACTGCACTAAATTAAACAGAAAAACATGCAGTTTAATGCTTCAGTGGATCATCAACACACTGATGCAATGGATATTTCCCTTCCTCTCCTCTTGCCTCTGCTTCAGTGTTTCAAAGGATTCTACGGGGAGCTGGGAGAGCTGCTGAACGTGGTCACCTGTGTCTTAATGAAGCTGTAGTTGAGAAGAGTAAATCCCACCCCACTCCCCTCCAAATCTGGAGGAACTTGCATTGCTTGCACAAGTTCCTAATTTCACCATCTCTCACTATAGTTCCATAAGACACAGCCCACAATGTTTAACTGGTTGCCTTGAACGTTTGGAGAAATTAAAAATAATACAATGGAATATTGATCTATAACAGTGTTTCTCAACCTTGGCAACTTTCAGATGTGTGGATTTCAAATACCAGAATTCCCCAGCCAGCAATGGTCTATAAGACCACTTGTTTGCAAAATAAATGAATGATAATATTCAAAAGCAGGAGAAATATTTCATTTACAGATTCTTCCTTTAAGCAGTTATATTTCTTTCCTCCGTGGAAATCCAGTGTTACAACTGTATATTAGTTCTGAATGAAAAGTATTGAAGTTTACCACCCAGACTGTCTTAAATTAGATAAAATATACAAAAGGTTAACTGTAGCTCACATTTAAAAACATGCAATACTTTCAATTGGTCACTGAACTCCTAGAACGCAACTGTTCCATTTGATGCTGCATGATGTTATCTCACCTGATAAATGCATAGTGGTAGAAACAGAATCTGTTGGAGGAAGAGACATTACAGGACCCTATTTAGTGACTGACTGGTGCTCTAACCTAGAGTTTTTTTTTAATATGTTCCATGGAAAAAACCTGATCATATGTGCACTGGAGCACAGCCAATTTTTTACTCACTAAGAGCTTTGCATTTTGATCAGACGTTCTGGGAAATTTTTCTCTTAACTAACAGGTTCCACACCCTGAAAAAGTTTGAAAAACCCTGCTCTAATCTTTGAGAACAGTAACCATTTCTCTGCCAATCTCAGTCTGGATATTGGATGCAATTTCTTATAAAAACCATAAATGTATCCATTTCTAAATATATCTTTATATAAAGGAATAGTTTCCCTAAATGGCAAATCACAGTAGTAAACTAGGCAATTTGTTAACAGTAACAATTAAACAGTGTATTATGAGAATCTATAATTGGAAATGGGAAAATGGACAGTCAAGTATGTAAATTTTAGTAGATACCACTAACTATGTTTTTAAAAATAATTTCCTATTTAATCTAAGCCCCATATTGTTTTTATATATCCATATTTTCCGAATCTACTATGATTTATAATTTAATTTCCAAAGCTTCTTCCATTTTGTTCAAAACAGCCTAGCTGAGGTCAAGAGTTAGGGAAGCAAAAAAAAAAAGAAGGGTGCAATGAAAAGGACATAATTAAGTTTATTAAATATTTTTTATAAAGAGCTATTCTTAAAAAGGGTGAACTCTTAAAACAAAAAAGAAGAATAAATTCCTTTTCTTTCTTACAAACAAGTGGCTATTGCTGGAGAGCTCTTTAATGCATAATCTGTGTGGTCCGTAAAAGCAATTCACCGTTGCTGGACGTGTGAGAAGCTCAAAAAATATAACACTGCTTAATTCAGAATTCGAAATTATGATTCTGGTGAAGCTTCATGATAATCTAACCTAAGGTTGTATATGCAAATTAGCCGATAAGACTGAAATAAAATTCAATTTATGAAACTTCTTACATTGTTCAATCAAAACCAAAATCTAAATATTTACTAATTAATTGTTCCAATGATTTAAAATGTAAAATTACATATTTAAAATATTATACATCTCTAGGTCCCTTCAGCTGTGCTGCAGCTGTACCATCCAAAGTAATACATGCAAGATATATCCCCTTTCCCCACACACACACATATTCTTTGGTGTCTGCAATATTAAAACTGAATGGTTTAACTTCAGAACATACAATTTGCGCATCTTACGGTTTTACTCCCGTAGTCGACACATTCAGGTCCAATACATTCACAGCAGGCGTTGTGAAACCATCGGTATTTGGAAGCACCCGTAGATCCACAAGAGATCTTGCACTGATGTATTGACATGCAGTCATCAAAGTAAACCACAGTACACACACGTTCTAAATGACCGAAGCAGAAGATAGATTTTAGTTTTTTGCCCAAAGTCTAAATCATGGATCATTCAAATAAAGCTTCTGCCAAACTGTTAAGTCTATAGCATTACCGTTCTCATGCACCATCTCGCTTTTCCTATAACAATATTTTGGATCACTGCTCATATTTGGTATGTTTTCCATATTTTGGAATAGAGACCCTATTTATGCGATTCTAAAATATGATGAAAATCACCATACCTCATTTTAAAAGCTTAAACTTGTGAACACAACATAAAATTTCAATCTTTCAATCACAATATTTTACCTTTTTCACTAGAATATGAAGCACGGACATTGTTGTTTGAAATGGAAACATTCTGATGCTGGGGATGGTTCACTGTTTCTAAAATTGAAACTAAATTCTCATGATGCGACAGTTCTTCTGCAACGGGAAAGGACACAATTTTCCAGCTCAGCTGAGTATCACCTTCCGTAAGTGCCCGGAAAAGGGAAGGGATTGGTTCATGCAGCTCCTCCACGGTACTTTTTGAAGTGGGAGGTGTGTCACTAAAATTCCGAGGATTACACATACCTGTAGACAATTTGACAAATTGTTCAACAACAGGTGCCCATAAGAATATTTGAGAAATAACATTAGAAATGTTGATATTAACAACTTTAGGCATTTACAAAAGCTGCTTCTGGAATGAAATTTTGCTGTAACATGAATTTTAAAAACCCTGCTTTTTCTTTTTTCTTTTTAAATAGAGAACTCTTTTAGTTCTGCCATAAAGTTCTCCTATGCAATATGCACAGAAATCTATATTCCACAAACTGCATTTTAATGGGTTAAGAGACTTTCCGTGAGACTAAAGGAGCTTTTCATCCTGTTTCCTGGGGTACTTATTAGGCTGGTGAAGAAGAGACCAAAGAGTTTAAGTCCTGTTTATCTTGTATAACTCTCTGGATCTTCTATCCAGATGCTTTTTTAACCAGTAATTAATACCACACTACCAATACCACACTACCAATATAACCTGACCAAAAAAAAAAAAAGGATAGAAAGTCATGGAGATGGCATAGAGTGAACCTCAGAATCTATATTTGTACTTTCTGCTCCAAACATATAGACAATGAAGTCAAAATTCTTATGACAGAAGGCTCAGCTGTAAGTCTCCTTTATCCAAATAAGAAATTGAATTTAATAGTATAATATATTAAGACAATACAGTGGTACCTCGGGTTACGAACTTAATCCGTTCCGTGACTCTGGTCGCAACTCGAAT